GCATTTGGCATTGGTCACATGTTCAGGTGCGTGCGGGGGGGTCAGGCAGGTAATACATGTGAGTGAAGTGGGTTCTTGGGGACCTGGCAAGCATATGCCATATCTGAAGAAGATTACTACAACAGAGCTCCCACGTGTTACAGTTTCACCTTCCGCAATTCAAAAAAAATCCCCAAATCTGGATTTGTGACATCTCCCATATTTCCAAGGTTGGAAATTTAAAAAAAGAAAACTTTGTGGGCCAGACTGCACCCATTATTGGGCTGGGTACAGCGTGTGGGCTGTTGGTTCACAGTTTCTGATCTATAAAATGTCCTGGGGATATTCTGAACACCATGGGGGGGATACTTGAGGGCAGAAAATATTTCAAGGGCCTGTTACGGTTGGAGAACCACACAGAGCTTGACACAAAGTACCAGATTCTGGGTCTCCTTCTGCTCTTGGTCCCCTAGTCCAAAAGCCCTTGCAGGTGAGCGCCGCCCCCCCCCCCCATCATCTCTAAAGAAGGCAGCCTCAGTTCAGGCACCACACTACTGACAGCTTCATAGCAGCCTCCACGATACAGTTAAAGGGAGCTGTGGGAAGGCCTACCTCACCCTTAATTTTTCTGTCTTGTCTATTGCTAGGTTTAAGGCTAGTGTCCTGAACGTCATTGCTGAATGCTGGCTGAATTAGAAAGTGGGCGCCCACAAGGTGTGCTGCGACCCAACCCTATCCCTCAGAAATCTGAGCACAGTGGTAGCTCTCAGATCAGCCTACCTCCCCAGAGCAGGCCTGCTAGGATACACCAATAACCGGTATTCACTGCCTCTTGGTTCTTTTGACAGTTTTAAACCATCTGGCTGGATCTCAAGGCCTTCCCCTCCAGACTCCCCTGTGTCTCTGCAAAGGCATCCTGGAGTTATTCCCCAGAGTGGCAGCAACGATGACAGCAGCAGCAGAGGCGGGGAGCTGGGTTGGGGTGGGTGTTAGATATGGGAGGTGGGTGGTATGCTTGCTAGCTGGGCAACAGAGCAGCAGTGAACCTGCCCCAAGGCCACACGTGCCTGGTCAGGCTGGCTTCTGATGTTCAGTCCCCTGGGCTGGGACAGATTTTTTTTAACGTCTTGAAACTTAAATTCTGTGCTTGTAGGAGACTGTAACCTTTTTGTCTTTTTTTTTTTTTTTTTTTTACACGAAACAACTTCCACCTCCAGTGGCTGTGACTGGTCCCAGTGATTGTACCATATTGGTCGCTGTGGGTCTGGGCGGGCCTGGAGCCAGAAGGCGACTATTGTGTCCCCCCCCCCCCCCCCCCCCGTCCCCAAACCCCAAGTCTGGGGAGAGGGAGGGAAGGAGGAAGGTTTCAGACTCCAGTTCTTTCCCTTGCCCTCTTACTCCTGAGCCTCCTTGGGCCCAGTAGAAGTTGTTGGGACTCTCTGCCAGCTTCCTGAGCTCTTCCTGAAGATGGCCATCCAGCACTGGTTGGGGACAAGGGCTGAACTGATGGCCACCAGCCATGCCTAGGAGCTGGGCCCTGAAAGCCAGGCACCTCTGGCCGCAGGGGCCACTCTGTGCCCTCCCAGCTGAAAGGGGCCACTCTTTTCGCCTTGTCTGTCAGTGCAGTGCCTGTGCAAGAAGTGGAGGGGTGAGTCCTCCAGAGCTTCCTGAGCTGGGGTTCTTCACCTGCTCTGGCTCCTCTGCTCCAACGCTCGCTGTACCTTTTCTTATTTTGGTGGATCCTGCCTCCTCCCTTGATTAAAGTCTCTTTTTGCCCCTTTGGGGCTGCATGAGGTCTGTGCACTGTGTATATGAAAGGACGGGTGCGGTGGGGCTCTTTCTTCCCAAGACCATGTAGCTGGTACTTGGGTGTGGGTGTCCCCATCACAGGTAGTCTCCTGATTGGTTTCTGAGGTTAACTGTGCCAAAGGCCCTGACCCAGAGACTCCCATTACAGTCCAAGCACCATTCATTTCTGAAATTGGTCTATACCTATATGGAGCTTTGGTCCTTTTCACATAATGAGCTCATTTGGCCTAAAAGTAACCTCTGAGAAATAACAATTCTATATCCTGGCTAAGGAAACTGGTTCCTTGAGAGGAAGAAGCATGCCCCAAATCTGGCTAGTGAGCAAGAAGGTAGACTTCTAAGACTTGTGCCTCTGTAATCACTAGCCACAGGTGGGTATTTAAATTATTAAAATTTTAAAAAGTTAAAGTTCACTTCCTCAGTCCCACCAGAGACATTTCAGGTGCTCAATAACTACAAATGACTAACTCCTATCATGTCAGAGTACATATGTAGAGCATTTCCATCATTGGAGAAAGTTCTGTTGGACAGCACTAGACTTTGGTGACTCCTTGAAGTTAAAAAAACACTCGTGCTTGAATCCTGACTCTCAAGGCTGAATTAGCGTGAATTCCTTATATTCTGTGCTTCAGTTTCTTAATCTATCAAGTGGAGATAACAGGCAGACACAGTACCTGCCATATTACTGTATTAATAAACAACAGCTGATCTTTCCACCAGCACAGTATCCAAACATCATTTTCATTGCACTAGGCATAGGTGGTTGGGAGGGTGGGTAGCCTTCTCCCTGTCTTGGAGGGACTTTGCAGGGGGTGGGTAGTGAAAGTTGGGTGTTTCAATAGGTGCACTGAAGTCTTTCATATTCACACAATCTGTGGTGGTCTGGAGGGTGTATTTATGGAATGGATGTCAGGGAAAGTTTCAGAAGGGTTTGCCTTTGAGCTGATCCTTCAAAAGGTTCTTCAGATCACCAAAGAAGTCTCTTGAGGTGGACAAGGTAATGTTAAAGAGAGGAGGGGTTGGGAGGTGGGGGCAACTTGGACAGCTATCATTCCCTTTATGACATTACCTCTGTGACCTCCCCCTCCTGCCTTACAGAAATAGGGGTGCCCTCTGGGGCACATGGCTATGTCCTAGCTTTTGCAGTAAATGTTAAAGGTGCTCCTGGTGAAGCTGGGTGTTCAAAAAGAGCATGGCAGCCACTCGCTCAACCCTCACAGGACGGCATTGCCTAGGTGAGCCAGCCTGTTTGTCAGATCCGTCTCCCAGGACCCAGAGCCCCTAAAACTAGATTTGCAGACTGATGAGAGAACAGAATGGATGGTTGCCATTTAGCCTGCCCTCTTCCAGGGACATGCCTTTTGGGAAGCTCAGTCCTCCAATCAAGGGGGTGGGGCGGGGAGTGATCTCAGGTTGAGATTGGCTGGATAGTTACCTTGAGTACCTACCTTCATTGTATAGGCAGATCTATCTGGTAACTAACGAAGCTGGGTTCTTAGACCAGAGTACTCTTACCTGGTCTTACTTCACTCTGTTTGAGCACTGCTGGAATTTGCACCATAAATTGCTCCTTTGGTACTTCTATGACTAATAAGTAATTCATCTGAGTGATAACATGTACTTATGTTAAGTAATGTTTATGTAGAAGAGTGGGATTTGGCGGTGAGATCAGAGTTCCAGTGCTGGCTCTACTGTGATTTTAGGCGAATTAACGTCTTGGAGCCTCTTTTATGTCACATAACTTTGGAGGCTCACTACCTCCAAAAAGATTCCTTACAGTCTTTACAATCTTGAGGGCTGTGCCTAACTGCTCTATTGTATTTTTTTCTGCAGTTGACTCAAATGATAATCTCTTTTCTATTTACAAGTTATTGAGGGCGGGGATTGTGCTGCACTCTACTTTCTCATTGTTTTTCCAATATACTGCCCTGGTTTTCAGATCAATCCCCAGGGACCTTACCCTGAGTTCATCCGCCACGCCCTGCAGATCTGGTCAGCCTCACCAGGCTCCAGCCACACTGGCTGCTTTTTAGTTCCCAGGGAAAGGTTCTCACCCTTCTCAGGGCTGTTGCTGAGACTTTCCCTGGAATGCTACTCCTACCCTCTTCCTTAGCCAACTCTTGACGTTTGCGTAGGCTTCACCTTAAATGTCACCTCTTCAGAGGGGACATACTTGTAAAGTACACAAGGAAAAGTACGTCCCCTTCCTGGTGTCAGTTTGCTGCTTGCTCATTGCCCTTACCATACCTACAGCTGTTCATTTTTTTTTAAAGATATTTATTCATTCATTCATGAGAGACACAGAGAGGCAGAGACACAGGCAGAGGGAGAAGCAGGCTTCACGCAGGGAACCCGACATGGGACTGGATCCCCGGAACCCAGGGTCAGGCCCTGGGCCGAAGGCGGCGCTAAACCGCCCAGCCACCCGAGCTGCCCACCGACAGCGGGTCTATTCCTTTGTTGCTTGCTATGTTTGTTTCCCCTCCCCTGGGCTGTAAACTCCATGAGGTCAGGGATCATCTCTAGCTTGTTCTTCCAATCTCCAGCACCTAGCCCACTGCCTAGCACGGTTGTGCTCCATCAATCCTATGGAATGACTCAAGGCACAGGAACCATGACCCTGAAATTAACTGGCAGCGCAGTGTTCTGCGCTTCCACCTTCGGTACCCCCACCCCCACCCCCACCCCGACCCCGCTCAGCCGTCCGAATTTCAGCCCGCAAGAGGGAGTCCCCGAACCCACTACAGGAGACCTGATTGTGCCAGGGGAATGGTTTCCAGGGCGACAGCAAGCAGGGGGCGGGGCGTCAGAACGAGCGGAGGGCCCCGCGAAGGCCGAAGCAGGGCCCTCCCGACGGGGTTGGCGCGCAGAGGGGCGGCGGGCTCTCACGCGCCGGGAGGGCGCGCGCGGAGGGGCGCATGCAGGGCCCCGGCGCGGCGCTGCTCCTGAGCGCGGGGGAGCTGGGGGTCGCGCCCCGGGGCTCCGCCGCCTGGTACTGCCGAGAGGGCGGCCGCACCAGTTCCCCCGCCCCGTGGCCCTGGCTGCGCCCCTGGCCGTGCCCCTCGGAGTTCCGGCCTCCCGAGACGCAGCCACGGCCCGGGCCCGCCTGCGCCCACCCCGACCGCGCTCGCCCGAGCGGCCCGCGCCCGAGCGGCAGCCCCGCCCCTGCGCGCCGCCTAGGCCACGCCTTCGGGCCGCCCGCCCGCGGCGCCCACGCCCAGAGCGCCGCGGATCCCCGCCCCTTCGGCTCCCCGCGCACCCCGGCCCCGGCTGAGGCTCGGCTGCAGGACGGTGAGGCCCGTGGCGGCCCGCCCTTCCTGGCCGGAGGTGCTGGCAGGGACCAGGAGACTTGGGGTGGAGGGGACGAGGGGTCGGGAGAAGCGCTGGGTGCGGGCATCCGGATGAAGGGTGGAGAAAGGAGCGTGGGCGTCGGAGGCCGGGAGGGCCGCTAGGCTGAACCCCCAGCCCGCCCCGTCCCTGCTCCACGTCTTTCTGCAGGTTCCCTTGTCCTGTGGCGAGGATTCTCCAAGCCGTCTCACCACATGGGCCGGCTCAGAAACGCCAGGATCCACGTGGAGAGAGCTGTCAAGGTCGGAGGGGCTCGGGGGTGTCCAGAGAGGGCCCGGAGAGTGGCTTAGCTTGCTTCTCTCCATTGTTTTCTTATATCATTTAAAAACGAACAAAACGAAAAAACTTGATCCCACACCTATTTTAAAATATTAGCAATTTTTCAGTACCCCTTCTTGGAATCGTGTAACTTCTTTACCTGGGATTCACCCCTTTAGCTCTTATCACTCTGGTTCCTAGCCTTTACCCTCTCCTGTCAGGAACCATTCCAGTCAAGGTCATTGGTGACCTCCAAGGAGCCAAATCCAGCAGACCCTTTTTTTGTCCTAATCTTGGTCTGGAAACTCGTGTCGTTCTGTACTGCTGCCCCACATACCCTGCCCCCTTGGCTGTCTGCACACCCCTAGTTTTCCTTTCTCCCTCCCTGGCTGCTGCTTTACAAAGTTGCCTTTGAAAGCTCCTTGGGGTTTTCTTGGTTCCTGGGATCCCTCCCCACACTTGGCTGTGAGTCCAGTAAAGGTGCTGTGCCCTCTACACGCCCTTTCCAAGCCTAGCCTCTCCTCCGACTCCACACGCCTTAAATCCAGCCCCCTACTTGACATCTCCACCCAGAGAACTTAGAAGCATTTCCTCCTCATGCCCCACACCATACTCCTTATTTTCCTGACCAAACCTGTCGTCCTTCCTAATCTCCTGTCTTCCTCATCAACCAATTGCTCAAGCCAGAAATATGATCTTTCTGTTCGTTCACCCACACATCTAGACAATCACAATTTTTTTTTTAAATTAAGCTCTTTTTTTAATTAACTCACAATCCTAAGATCAAGAGTCACATACTATACTGAGTCAGCCAGGCATCCTTTTCATCTACTACACATCTAATCCCATCAGCAAAAGCAGTCACCTCTGTTTCCAAACCAAGTCTCCAGTCTGTCACATTCTATACATTTTCACTCTTATTCTAGTTATTGTGATTTTTCTCCTGCATAAATCACAACAGCCTTCAATTTTATTATTTTATTAAAAGCAGTCACCTCTATTTCCAAACCCAAGTCTCCAGTCTGTCACATTCTATACATTTTCACTCTCATTCTAGTTATGGTGATTTTTCTCCTGCATAAATCACAACAGCCTTCAATTTTATTATTTTATTATTTTATTTATTTTATTTTATTTATTTTATTTTTACAACAGCCTTCTAACTGGTCTCCCTGTTTCCCTTCCCAGCTCCTTCATCCGTTCTCTGTATGGCAGCAAGCCCAACATATAAAGCCTCCAGTCATATCATGCCCTCACTTTGCCCTTATTGCTTCATGCTACTCTTAATATAAAATCCAAATCTATTCAAGGCCTGTAGGGCCTTCCACAATCTAGCCACTACCTGCTTCCTCAGGAGCTCTCCCCTCAGTTTTCATACCCTACTGTCCCTGGCTTCCTTCCACTTTCTTCTGACCTCTGTCCATCCTCAAGACCTTTGTACATGCTTCTCCCTCTGCTTGAACTGCCATTTGCCCAACTCTGTCCACTCATGGACATGGATCCTTTGGGTCCCATGGGTCCTTCTTCCCCTCCCCACATATGTATTTTTAGTCTCTTTGAGTCCCCATTAGGTATCCAGTTTTGGGAACCCCACCAGCCTGGATTTAAATCTGTGCTCTTTCACTTAATCACTGTGTGGCCAAACTATTCAACCTCTCCATGCCTCTGTTTCATAACAAGTTACATGGAGATAATAGCATTTATTAAAAATATTATTGGGGTGTCTGGGTGGCCCAGTAGTTTAAGTGTCCAACTCTTGGTTTCAGCTTGGGTTGTGATCTCAGGGGTTGTGAGATTGAGCCCTGCATCGGGCTTCACACTCAGCGCAGAGTCTGCCTGAGATTCTCTCCTTCTCCCTCATGTTCTCTCTGTCTCTAAAATAAATAAATAAAATTTTTTAAAAATACATATTATTGTTAGTAGTATATACACACTAAGCAGCACATAGTAGGTACTCAATAATTGTTAGCTATGAGTATTATAATTATCACTATACATATTTGCTTCTCTGCTTGTTTATGATCTGTTTCCCCTACTGGAACATAAAAATTTCCTGAAGGCAGAAATCAGAACTGTCTGGTTCCCTGCTGTATCCTGTATGTCTGGCACTGGGCTGATACTTACTGACCAGATATTCCTCTCTCACCTTACAGCAGAAGAAGATCTTTATGATCCAAGGTCGCTACCCAGTGATACGGTGCCTCTTGCGCCGGAGAGGCTGGGTGGAGAAGAAGATGGTCCATCACTCGGGCACCACCCTGCCACCACCCCAGAAGGATCTGGATAGCTCAGTAATGGGTGATAGTGACACTACAGAAGATGGTAAGAGCTCCCTCCCTTTCCACAGGCTCCCCCTCCTGAAGCCCTTTCCTTTGGTTCCTGCTGTCTCAGAGTTGAGACTTTGGTGTGGGTCTGTGGGGCTGGGACAAGGGCCTCACTGAGTCCGGGCTCTACATCCACAGAGGACGAAGATGAGGACGAGGCATTTCAGCTACCGCAGCTGTTTGACTTTGATGATTTACTGGAATTTGATGACCTGGATGGGACACATGCTCTGATGGTGAGGGTCCCCGGGGGCTGGCAGGGAGGGGCTGAGAGGAAGAGCACTAAAATCCAGCTGGGTGACCTGAGAGAACTCCTTTCCCTCTGTAGGCCTCAGTTTCCCCATCTGTAGTAAAAACTGATTGCTTCTCTAAAGCCTGGATGGGTGAGCAGAGTGGTGAGGGACACAGTGGGGCTCAGACAAGGCTGGCCTGGGATCAGAACCCTGCTAGGTTATACCAGAAGCCAGCATAACCTCCACACCTGGTAATTCCCCCTTCTAAATAAAAACCTCATATTCCACATCTTTCCTTTGCCTTTGGCAAGTGAAGGCTAGAAGGAAGGGCTTAAAAAGCTCTGAAAGAGGCTGCTACAATGTTGTGGGGGTGAGGACACCTCTGTGTTGAAGTGAGGACACTTGGCTTTGAATTTTGGCACCACCACTTACGAAGCTGAACTGTAGCAAATTGCCATATCTGTTTGTCAGGAAAGGTTGAACGCTGGCAATTTCATATGGCTCAACTGTGTGAGCTCTTGGACAAATCACTTGCCCTCCCCGTGCCTCAGTTTCCTCATCTGTGAAAGGGGGAATAAGAGTAAGCACCTATTTCATAGGGTTGTTGTGAGGATTAAATGAACCGATATGAAAAGCACTTAAAAGAAAAAAAGAAAGAATGAAAGAAAGCACTTAGAATAGGTCTTTGCCTATTAGTAACTCTACGTCCCAACTGTGAGAAGGATGGAGGGGTTAGAGCCCTCTCTTAGGACTTTGTCACATGCTCTGTGCCCATCAGCTAGAGTCACCATCCTGTCACTGAGTAAGTCACTGATAGCCACAGGCCAAAACAAAGATATAGCATTCAGTTGTGTGGCTTAGTCACTGCAGAGGGACACCTGGCCAGAGGAGTTCTACAAGCCAGCCTGTTCTTTGCTCACAAGTGTGTGCCCTGGAGGAAGAGATGTCTTTCCTTAGCATACGCAACGATAGGGTGTGGCCTGGAGGCCATCTTGGAAGCATCTTCTCCTTCTATTAACCGCCCCCTGCTCAGCAGGCTAGGGAGAAGGTTCCTCAGACCTTGTGCTGCCCATGCCAGCCTCCCCTGTCTCCTCTGCTCTCCCCAGTCCCGCATGGTTCGGAATGAGATCCCCTATTTCATCTGGACCACTCGGCGGGATGTGTTGGATTGTCGCTTTCTCTCCAAGGATCAAATGATAAACCACTATGCCCGGGCTGGCTCCTTTACTACAAAGGTTGGTTCCCCAGAGGAGTGGGCATGGCAGCCTCTAACCCACTAGCCTTTGGGCCAGCAGTTCCGCTCCCTGCTTACCTTGTCAGGGAGAGAGAGTTCTCAGGAGGTGGAGAGGTATCTAATTCAGTGGGATATGGAGTCATGCAGGCCTGGGTTGAAATCCAACCCCTGCAGCAAGTCTGGCACCTGTAGACATAATAACTAAAATGGACTCCAAGGTCCAGAGAGGATCTAGAGCCAGAAAAACACCAAATCCAATGGCCATAAACAAGAAAGCCCTTACCAGTTAAGCAAGGGTGATCTGGCTGATGGAGCCATTCTGTCTCAACCTGGGTTTATTAACAAATGACTCCACCTCTCTGAGCCTCAGTTTCCTTGTCTTTTTTTTTAATGATTTTATTTATTTATTCATGAGAGACACAGAGACATAGGCAGAGTGAGAAACGGGCTCCCTGCAGGGAGCCCGATGCAAGGCTCTATCCTGGAAGTCTGGGATCACGCCCTGAGCCAAAGGCAGACGCTCAACCACTGAGCCACCCAGGCATCCCTCCTTGTCTTTAAGTGAGAACACCAGTAGGACCTATCTTGTAGGGTGTGGCAAGAATGAAGGGCTTTATTATTGGAACATGCTATTATTTATTGGTGTGGGCTAGGAAGGCTTCCTAGAGGAGGCAGGTCTTTAAGAATGGAAAGGGTGGATAGGAGGGATGTGGGCATTCTTGACAGAGCAAACTGCATGGGCATACACATGGAGATGGATATGAGTGAGTCAGGCCTAGGTAGCAAGTGCGGCAGAGGATCTGAGAACACTCAAGCTGGGTTTCCCTGAGCCGTCTGGGTGTGTGCCGAATGTCGGGAGTCCCTCGGAGGTGCTCTGGGCAAGTCCCACTGTGCCTCCTCAGCAACTAACTCCATAGGTGGGTCTATGTCTCAATCTCCGGAATTTGCCGTGGTTTGATGAGGCTGATGCTGACTCCTTCTTTCCACGCTGCTACCGTCTGGGGGCTGAGGATGACAAAAAGGCCTTCATAGGTAAGGAGATGCCAGGCCCATACCTGGACTCCCGGGCTGAAGCATGATGGCTAAAACCCTGGTTCATGTTAAACGAGAGCAAAGGGCCTCTCCTTATGCCCTCATCTACCCCAGGAGATTTCCTTCTCCATCCCATATCCTTGTTTTCCCTAATATGCCTCCCTTAATGAACTGTCTGGCTTGGGTCAAGCCAGACCTCAAAAGAGTTTAGATAGCTTAGATTATATTCTTTTTTTAAAATGATTTTATTTATTTATTCATGAGCGACACAGAGAGGCAAAGACATAGGCAGAGGGAGAAGCAGGCTCCATGCAGGGACCCCCATGCGGGACTGGAACCTGATATGGAACTCGATCTTAGGACCCCGGGATCACAACCTGAGCAGAAAGCAGACACTCAACCGCTGAGCCACCCAGGCGTCCCACTTAGATTATATTCTAAACCAGGTTGTAAAAGTTGGTCAGTGGGTTGAGTTTGGAGTCCACAGGATGTCCTAGGTCTGTGTCAGAATCCACTGCCTAGACTGGGTTGCAAATCTAGAAAAGTCTCTAGTCTTTGGGCTTAGGCAAAATAGTTTCCAACTTCAGAACATTGTCTAAATTTAGGTCAGAATTTGTGTTAAAAAAAAGAAAGAATTTGTGTTCAGATTAGCTGTTAGGTTTAAATTCATCTACAAACCTGACATAGGTTTTGTGCTCAGGTCCGGTTCTCAGGCTAGAGTAAGTATCAAAAGTGGATCAGGAACAGAAGGGGAAAATGAGACAACAGATTTAGGCAAGATTCCAAAGGCAGAATATGAGCCATGTCAGATTCTAGGCCCAGTTCTACAGCTGAACAGGAGCCAGGTTCTAACTCCAGAGTGTAGAGTCAGAAGGTAGTTAGGTTCTGGATCCAAAGTGGGGCAGGTTATGATCGGGTTCCGGAACCAGAACAGGCCTCGAGCCTAGGGGCTGAGCAGAGTATCCCCTGCCCTGGGAGCAGAGGACTTCTGGCTGACGGCTGCCCGCAGCGTTCTCAAGCTGGTGGTAAAGTCCGAATGGAAGTCATACTCCATCCAGTCAGAAGAGGAAGAGGTCCCAGGTAAATACCATGGTTACCTGCACTCCCCACCTGTTATATTTATCCTCTTACTCATCCATCTGTGCAGTTATACATCTATGTATTAGCCACCTCCATCTGCCCCCTCCACCACCCTTTCCCACCCACCTATCCATACATCTACCCACCCACTCGTCCATCCATCCATCCACTCATCCGTCCACCTTCCTACTCACCCAGCCCTACCCACTGAACTCATTCACCTGCCCATACATTCATTCATACATTTCACCCATCACCCCACCTATCCCCCCACTTTTGATTATTCACCTACCTTCTCTCATCTCCACACTCCTTATCCATCTGTCTACTTCTCCACCTTCCTGCCTACCCTCCCACAAACCCATCTACCCATCTCTCTCCTTGCTTTTCTGTTTCCCTGTCCACCACCTCTGTATCCTCCAGTCCACCGACTGATCTATCCTTTGTCCCACCCACCTGTCTTCTGATCCATTTGTTAATTAGTCCAAGACATCATTCAGCCCTCCACGGGCCTGGTATGTGACCGAGTGCTTTAGAGAGGAAAAACTAAGAAGACATGGTCCATCCTTGCCTATGGAGAGCTCAGGTCTCTGATGAGGAAGAAGCAGGGAACCATGTAGTTTCACGTGGTCTGAGGATCCCTGTGCTGTGTGAATGGAGGACACAGAGAATCCCCTACTGCATGTTGGCCCAACCCATTGCTTGCCCTTTCTGTCTCTGAAATTAGTTCTTACCTCAAAGTGCCCATCCCATAACCAAAGGGCCCATCAGCCATGGATTCAGGGAAGTAAGGGGCAGCTCTGCTGGATGGAGGAGAATTCTTGCCTCTTCCAGAGAGAGAGAGAGAGAGAGAGACCTCTCCATTGCTGTCTCCTGGGTGTGTCAGGTGCAAAGAAGACTGTTGTGTGCCATGATCAGGGACACAAGGGCCTCAGGTGTGTCAGAGGTCCCAGGAGCAGAGAGGCTGCAGATGTGTGCTGGGGCTACAGGTACAGAGTAGCATTGGGGTGTTTAGAGTGGTACCTCAAGTTTATGACAGGTCCTGGGACAGTGGAGGCCAAGGATGAGTACTAAGGTCACAGGAGAATTTAGAACAAACCCTCAGGTAAGTAGATGGGTCCCAGGACAGTAGGGGATATAGTAGGGGACACCTGTGCTAAGCTTCAGGTGTAGTCAAGGTAAGGCCTCGCGTAATTGACAGGCCTTGGAGCAGTGGGGGCTATGGTGTGTGTCATGTTACAAGCCTTGTGTGTGGTTAGCGACAGGCTTCTTCCTGTCTGTAGGAGACAAGCAGCCCAGGAAACAGGAGAAGAAGCCAGTGACAGTGTCGCCAGAGTTTGTGGATGAAGCTCTGTGCGCCTGTGAGGAGCACCTTAGCAGCCTGGCTCACGTGGACATCGACAAGGACCTGGGGGCGCCACTGTGCCTCAGCCCTGAGGGCTGGTCCCTCTTTCTTCAGCGCTACTACCAGGTGATCCAGTGAGTACCTCTGCCACCAGGGCTGTGGAGTGGGGTTGGGTGGCGGGGGTGCTCCCCTTGCTTTCAGGGGACTTCTGTGTGCTGAGCTGATGCTCAGGGACAGACCCTCTCTTCATAGCATCCCCCCTTCCTCTCTAGGCCTCCCCCTTTGGTTTGCCCTGCTCTTCCTGCTCAAGAACCCTCAGGGATGTTCACTGCCTGCACAATAGGTTCCAAACCATTCCATTTTTTTTTTTTTGGATTTTATTTATTTATTTGACAGAGAACACAAGCAGGAGCAGCAGGGAGAAGGAGAAGGAGGCTCACCACTGAGCAAGGAGCCTGATGTGGGGCTCGATCCTGGGATCATAACCTAAACTAAAGGCAGACACTTAACCAACTGAGCCACTCGGTGCTCCCCAAACCATTCTTCCTGAATCTTGGCATAGCATAATGACTGAGATCATGGCTTGCACTGTCCAATAGTCCTGACTTTGCAGCTTCCAAGCTCTTTGGCTTTGCCAGCATCACTGTCTCTCTGAGCTTTACTTTTCACGTGCAAAATAGATTTTTTATTTTTTTAATTTTTATTTATTTATGATAGTCACAGAGAGAGAGAGAGAGGCAGAGACACAGGCAGAGGGAGAAGCAGGCTCCATGCACCGGGAGCCTGACGTGGGATTCGATCCCAGGTCTCCAGGATCGTGCCCTGGGCCAAAGGCAGGCGCCAAACCGCTGCGCCACCCAGGTATCCCGCAAAATAGATTTTTTAAAAACATATTTTATTTGAGAGAGAAACAGACAGAGATAGGGCATGACCAGGGTAGGGTAGAGGAGGCAGAGGGAGACGGAGAAGCAAGCCCCCTGCTAAGCAGAGAGCCTGACATGAGGTTCGATCCCAGGACCCTGAGATCATGACCTGAGCTGAAGGCAGACACTTAACCAACTGAGCCACCCAGGTGTCCCCACATGCAAAATAGATTTTAAAATAATGTCTGCCTCAAAGGTAGGATTGGACAGGATAATTTGTGTCATGTGCTCAGCATGGACTCATACTATTCACTCACAAAATGAGATCTATTGAGTTGTCTAGGTTTTATCCTAGAGACCGGTGTTCCCAAAGGATGTTACATAGGATGCTTAGTTCTGCAGGACAGAAATCAATTTTATGAAAGAAAGGCTTTTGTGGTCGATCTGAAAAACATTGGGTTAAACAAAGTTCTTTAATTCAGATTTCCTTGATGCAGGACTTTTCAGAACCTGTGGGTGTTGGTGCCCTCCAAGAGAGATGCAGTGTGCAGTATATCCTATACTTACATGCCCCCGGCTCCCTACCCCACCCCAGGCTTCCTGGGGGGTGGTGTTTTCAGAGCATACTTTGGGAGACAGTTCTTGATCAGAGGAAGGGAGTTGAGTTGAGACCGGAATTTGATTCAGCAGAGGTGTGCAGGAGAGAGGGAGAAGAGCCCTGAAGACAGGAGAACACCCAGCATTTGTTGAGCACTTCCTGTGTGCCCAGCATTGTGCCAGACTCCAGAAATGAAGTATAGCCCCTGCCCTCAAGGGGCACATAGCTCAAGTAGGAAGGCTCACAGCAAGCCAGGTGGGAGTACTAAAGGGCCTCAGCCAGAGTGGTATCAATAGAAAGGAATGGGCAGACTGAATGATTTGGAAGGGCAGACGAAAGAGCTACTAACTGAACTTTGAGCGAATGACACACTAGCAAACCTGCATCATTGATAAAGAATTCATTTGTATCTTTTTTAGATGTTAGAAATTAAAAACTGGATGACCTATGCTTTCCCCTTAACCGCCACCAAAAAAGAACCAGAAAAGGCTACCCTTCTTAAACCAAGAATTATCAAGATTGAGTTAGAGCATTAGGTGTAAAGAATATGAGTACTTTGTATTTCTAGATGTGGGCCAAGTTCTAGAGAGCCACAGGTACTTCTCAAAAGTCAGGATTACATAAAATATTACATCATATAAGGATGCTTGGCTGGCATCAGTCAGTAGAGCATGTGACTCTTGGTCTTGGGGTTGGGAGTTCAAGCCCCATGTTAGACATGGAGCTTAACTTACAAAATTTCTTTTTTTGCCTTGGAAACATTTGTCAAAAATATATGTATTTTAAATTGCATCATGGGCACCTGGGTGGCTCAGTTTGTTAAGCGTCTACCTTCAGCTTAGGTCATGATCCCAGGATCTTGGGATCAAGCCCCACATCAGGCTCCCTGCTCAGCAGGGAACCTGCTTCTTCCTCTGCCACTCCCCCTGCTTGTATGCAAGTGTGCATGCGCGTCTCCCTCTCTCTTTCTGTTAAATAAATGAATAAAATCTAAAAAAAAAATAAAATAAAACTACATCATATAACAAGTAGTGTTAAGTGGTTCATTCACAGAAGTTATAATTAGCTTTCATTAATTCATTCAATATTTACTGCTGTGTTTTCAATTATTTGGAATAAATCCATGACTTACCAGCTTCACTTTTATCACAATTGACTACCCGCAAGAACACTGTTTGCTTTTTTCTTTTTGTTAAATACAAAAATCATAATGATATATCTAATGTACTTTTTCAGATTGCACATGCATGCTCCTGCCACCCTTTTATGATACTTTCCTGAGCCAAATACACATTTACTGAATAGCCCACAGAAAAGTTGAGAGCAAAGCCTCTGGAAATAGAAGGGTCTGGGCTTAGGTGGGAATAGACCTGAGAGGTGTGGCCAAGCCCCCTCCATCTGACTGCTATCTCTGCTCCTGGTGCTGCCCCAATGGGTGCTGCTGCCTCCTTATTAAAAGATCTCTAAGTCCTTTGTGGCTAGAGATATTTATAAGGCTAAAATGTAAAGGGGGATTAGCAGCTTGTGGAAGCTTCCTTCCTATTTAGTCAGAGGGAGAAGAATGGGAGAGTGTGGATGAGGCTGCCATCTTAGGGTATTATGTAACTTGGTTTAGTTGAGGACGTTTGTGTCTAGTAAGGAACAGAGTCCCTCTCTGTCCATGAACCCTTACCTGTACAGCCCAGTGCTAAGGCAGGCAGCCATTCATCCAGTCAGCAGCCTTTGGCGGGAGCACCTAAAAGTGCTAAGTACACTGCTGGGGGAGGGGAGACTATAAACAATGCTCCTGTTCTTAAGGAGTTTAGACTCCAGTGATGGGAGACAGACAAGAATCAAATGAGCGTAGGTGTAGGGTGGTAAGTCATGGGAAGAGAGACAAGACAAGGGGGTGTATGATACAGATGGACTTGGAAGGAATTAGACCAGGATGGGAGCCACCTATCAACCAGTTGTAGGTCCAGGTTTGGAGGGGAATGAACCCCCAAAAGCACCTGTAGGTGGCGGAGGGATCAGACAGGACAGAATTTGCATCCTGGCTCAGCCACTGAACCCAGTGTGTGGCCTTGGGCAAGTCTTTAAACCCTCCCAGCTTCAGCTGACACTTCTCCCAAGTGGGACCAGCAATACCTCCTAGGCAGGGCCATAGAAAGAATTGGTGATAATATATGTGAAGCCCCTGGCACTGTGCCTAGCACATAGTGGTGCCTTGTTGTCAGATGCTGGTGTGATTCAGTTCTGCCAAAGGCAGTTTTATTGTAATAGAAGGGAGGTGGTGGGAGGTGGAGTGTTTGAGTGGGAGGGGGTGTAAAATGTAGAATTTTCCCCTGGTCTCCTATTCCAGCATCCTCGGACAGTGCCCTGGGCCGGTTAGAATTGGGGTGGGGTAAAGGCTTGGAGGAGGCCTCTCTGGGTCTCTTGGGGAAGGGCATGACCTAGGTTGGTTGGACCATGGCCAGGGGGTTGTGTGCCCCCAGGCCCAGCCCTGCCCAAGTCCCATCATCTTCCCACAGTGAGGGGGCGGAACTCAGGCACCTCCACACTCAGGTCCAGCGCTGTGAGGACATCCTGGAGCAGCTGCGGGCTGTAGTGCCCCAGATGGACATGGAAGGAGATCGCAACATCTGGATCGTGAAGCCGGGAGCCAAGTCCCGAGGACGAGGTGGGAGTCCGCCCCTGCTTCCTGCACTAGCGCCTCTCCCAACTGGAGGCCAGGGAAGTTAATAGTGCAGGTTGTGTGGGAGCCAAACTGCTTGAGTTTGAATCCCACCTGTGAGGGATGATAATAACCTCCTATGAGGTGAGGATTATTATTATTTTTTAAAGATTTTATTTATTCATTCATGAGAGAGAGAGAGAGACGCAGAGACACAGGCAGAGGGAGAAGCAGGCTCCATGCAGGGTGCCTGATGTGGGACTCGATCCTGGGACCCCAGGATCACACCCTGGGCTGAAGGCAGGCACTCAACCGCTGAGCCCCCCAGGCGTCCCTGAGGTGAGGATTAAATGAGGTAGTGTGGGGATCCCTGGGTGGCTCAGCGGTTGAGTGCCTGCCTTCAGCCCAGGGCATGATCCTGGAGTTCCGGGATCGAGTCCTATATCAGGCTCCCTGCGTGGAGCCTGCTTCTCCCACTGCCTATGTCTGCCCCCCTCTCGTTCTCTCTCTCTCTCTCTCTCTCTCTCTCTCTCTCTCTCTCTGTGTCTCTCATGCATAAATAAATAAAATCTTAAAAAAAAGATTAAAAAAATAAAATAAATGAGGTAGTGTGTCTAGAGCTCAGCATGGTGCCTGGCACAGAGTAATCATCCCATCAGTGTTGGCTGCCGTGATGACAAGGATATCTCTCCTGCCCTCAGGGTTGGGTTAATGCTTTAGGTGTGTCTGGTGATACATGTGAGCAGTAGCCTGTCATCTAAGGGCCCTCTGATTTGACCAGTGCATCCTTGTCAAGTATAGCATAGTGGTTAAAGGTGTGGATGCTGAGAGCCAGACTTCATTGGGTTAAGCCCAAGCTTTGCCTCCTACTATCTGTAAGACTTTGGGCAGGATGTTAACCTCTTCTCTACTTTTCATCATTTGGTAAATGGAACCAATGCTACCTTTTCAAGAGGATTAAGCAAGTATAATATGTGCTTTTACATAGTAACTGCTATATTATAGTACTATTATTTTTAGCTATGATTGTCGGCTACTCAGCCCAGTGAGTGGAATTATAACAGGAGAGCCAGCTTTTTGATTCTATTGTTTCTATTGGGGTGGTGCATTAGCCTAGCCTTAAGAATGTGGTTAAGGACTCACAAGATGTGGAAAACAGACTTCCAGATTCTTCCAAATACTGTCCTTGGGTGAGTTTGTTCATGTCCAAGTGGAACTGTTGAAGGTCCAGACACTGTGGGACAGTCTTCTTAGGGATATCACTTCAAAACTAGCATATTGGTCTTTTCTTTTCCTTCCTTGAAAATGCTTATTTTTTTCAATTATGAAATTATGTATTTATTATTTATTTAAAAAAAAACCGAGGTGCCTGAGTGGCTCAGTCAGAAAAACATCTGACTCTTGATTTTGGCTCAAGTCATGATCTCAGGGGTCATGAGATCGAGCTCTGCATTGGGCTCTGCTGGGTTCTCTATCTCCCTCTCCCTCTGCCTCACCTCCACCACCACTACCCCCTGCCCTGCTCTGGAGTGCGCACGTGCTCCCTCTCTAAAACAACAAAAAACAAAAAACCAGGCAATACAGATAAGCAGGAAGGAAAAAGCAAAAGCCACTCTTGGTTTTACTGAGATAACTTCTGTTAACCTTTCGGTATGTTTCTTTCTATACCTTTTTCTATGCATTTGAGGAGAGAGAGGGAAAGGGAGGGTGCGTTTGTTTTATTTTCAACAACATATTATTCTGTAGCCTTCTTTTCTCATTTATTATATCTTTCTATATCAGTATTACTTTTTTTTTCATTTTTCCTTTTCTTAACAATAAATCTTAGAAATCAGTTCGTTTCAGTTCATCTAATCTTGCCTTTCCTTTTTTTCCTATTTTTAGCTTATTGTTACGGACACTCTTCCTTTTTTTTTTTTTTTTTAAGATTATTTATTTGAGGGAGAGAGAGAGAGCACACGCATGTTGTGAGTGGGGAGAGGGGTAGAGAGAATCTTCAAGCAGATTCCCTACTGAGCATGGAGTACAATGCGGGGCTCTATCCCATGACCCTGAGATCACCACTTGAGCCGAAAACAAGAGTCGGACATTCAACTCAGACACCCAATGGACACTTTCAAAATACACAGAACTAGAGAGAATAACAGTGAATTCCTGTGTACCTTGTACCAAATTTCAACATTTTATTTCCAGTTTTTAGGGAAGTTTAATTGAAATATGCATGTGGTGCTCCATTTAAAAGGGTATATACATGGGCAGCCCTGGTGGCGCAGCGGTTTAGTACCACCTGCAACCTGGGGTGTGATCCTGGAGACCCAGGATCGAGTCCCATGTCGGGCTCCCTGCATGGAGCCTGCTTCTCCCTCTGCCTGTGTCTCTGCCCCTCTCTCTCTCTCTCTCTCTCAAATAAATAAATAAAACATTAAAAAAATTTTTTTTAAAAAAGGGTATATACATGATGTGAGTATACAACTCAACAAATTGTCAGAAAGTGAACACACTTGTGAAAATAGTACCCAGATCATGAAATAAAATATTACGTGCAACCTAGAGGGACCCTCCCAGGACCCTTGCATTCTCTATGTCCCTGAAATTGTTGGTAACCACTATTCCGATTTACAGTATTATAGATTAGTGGTGCCTAGTTTGGTATATTACATAAAAGTACAGCATGTACTGTCTTCTTTTTTTTTAAGATTTATTCATTTATGATAGAGAGAGAGAGAGAGAGAGAGAGAGGGGCAGAGACACAGGAGGAGGGAGAAGCAAGCCCATGCCAGGAGCCTGATGTGGGACTCGATCCTGGGACTCCAGGATCGGGCCCTGGGCCAAAGGCAGATGCTAAACCGCTGAGCCACCCAGGGATCCCCCAGCATGTACTGTCTTATCTCATTTTGCTTTACAGCTGCATATTCCACTCTTTTTTTTTTAAGATTTTATTTATTTATTCATGGGAGACACAGAGAGAGAGAGAGGCAGAGACCTAGGCAGAGGGAGAAGCAGGCTCCCTATGGGAGCCTGATGCAGGACTCCTGGGACCCCGGGATCACACCCTGAACTGAAGGCAGACGCTCAACTGCTGAGCCACCCAAGCGTCCCATATTCCACTCTTGTTTAGATGTACTGTCATGGGTTTACCTAATTCATTTCTGATGGATATTTAGATGGCTGCCAGTTTTTTTCCTATTGATTGATTGCTGTTACAAGCAACACTATAATAGACATCTTGTGCAGATACTTTTGTGGCCTTTCCATTTATTTCCTTAGTATAAAACTTCTAAAAATGAAATATTTGGGTCAAAGGACATAGCAGCCTTAATTTTTGTTATGCAAGGCATCATGTTCTTGGGATTCTTGGTGATCATTCTGGCCATTTGAGAAAGGATATGGCTTGGGAACCAGGCACAGGTTATTCTGTGCCATTAGCAGGTGATCAGGCTGCTTTGGGGGCCAAACAATGAAGGAATGAGATGGATTTGTGAATATGTATGTTTGCAACAGGACTCTGATGATTATCAGCATTAAAATAATGCTTTATAAGATACATAATATCACTTGTTATTAAAGAGATAAAATTAAAATAAGATAATTATTTTCTACCTAGAAAAATGGCCAAAATAATCAATAGTGTTGGGTAGGATGTGGGCAGATACATAGTATCATACACTTGCCGGGAGTGCAGGTTGGTAGAACATCTTGGGTAATACAAAATGAAAAAGTGAACGTATCTGTGGAGGCAGCAGATCTACAGGTAGAAATTTATTCTACAGGTAACTAATAATAATGATAGGAATTAACATTTACTGAATGCTCACATCGGCCAAGAACTATTCTAAATCTTTAACATGTTTAGATGTTTAGAATCCTATACATCTACGGACTTGTAGATTCTCCCAGAACCTGGAAGGATACCTGTTGGACCTGGAAGCAGCAGTTACCTGCCTCTGGGAAAGAAGTATTTTTTATTATATACCCTTTTGTACTGCTTGCTTTTTGTTTCTATTGTTTTGTGTTTTGTTAATTATTGGGAAAATACTACTCAAAGTCGTATATGCACATGTTTTTTTAAAAAGCCCAATATGGATTGAGTTTTTATCTGTGCGTATATTCTTTTTCAATCAAACAGAAGTGGTTAATTAAAAAAAAAAATTGATCTTCAGCAGATTCTCAGCTTTCCCAAAGGGAACAGGGTTCTGAGGGAAGCAGCCTTCTCTATCAGTTCTGCGGGAATGAGGGCTTCAGCTAGCTATATGTGGTCCCGTAGCCCTTCTCCTAGTGCAAGCCTGATTTGATCCCTGACCACCCTGTTTCCCCCTTAGGCATCATGTGTATGGACCACCTGGAGGAGATGCTAAAGCTAGTAGATGGCAACCCCATGGTGATGAAAGACGGCAAGTGGGTGGTACAGAAGTATATTGAGCGGCCTCTGCTTATCTTTGGCACCAAATTTGACCTGAGACAGTGGTTCCTGGTGACTGACTGGAACCCACTTACCGTGTGGTTCTACCGTGACAGCTACATCCGCTTCTCCACACAACCCTTCTCCCTGAAGAACCTTGACAAGTGAGCCTCACCCCTTACCTCCTCTGAGCACCCCATCTAGCTGGGGAGCTGACAATGAACAAGTGGTTCCCCTGTGCCACGCTGGGCTCCAACACAAACTCTGCAGGCAGGCAGGTCCTCCATCCACCCAATAGATGACCTACCAAGGGTGTTCTAAGCACTTGGGATACAGCAGTGACCAAACTAAGAGCCTGGTTCTCAAGGGGTCACATTCCCATACGTAAGCTGGCCGTGTAATGAAATGTGTCTGCCCACTTCCTACCCAACAATGTTGATTATTTGCCATTCTAAGTAGAAAATAGTTATCTTATTTTAATTTTATCTTTCTTATAATGACTGGTGTTAAGTATCTTATTCTTATGCTAATGCTCCTAGATAAACAATGAATGTAATAAGTAAAATTATCCAATAGGTTGATAAGTGATACCTGGTTTAAAAAAAAGTAGAACAGGGTCAGGAGGTTCAGGAGAAATGTGAGTGGAGAGAGGCAGGTTGCGGTATTAACTTGGGGGGTCGAGAGAAAAGCCTTGTTGAGTCCTGGGTTCAAATTCCATCTCAGCAGTTGCTGAGCTGTGTGACTTTGGTCATGTGAAACCTATTTAAGCTTCATTTTTCACATCTGAACAATGGAGGCAGTATTACAAAACTCCTAGCTGTCCATTACTGAAGGCCTCTTATGTGACAGGTACTAAGCACTTTATGCATATTGTCTCAGTTATTCATGAAAACCCGGGAAGTGGGTCTTATCACTGCCCCCATTTTACAGACGTGAAGGAGCACTTGGGTGAAAAGATCTCTCAACTAGTCGGTGGTGAAGGTAGGACCTGAGCAGTCTTGTTTTTTGTTTTTGTTTCTGTTTTTAGCAGTCTTGTTAATTACAGGGCCCATTCTACCCACCTTCTTAACCCAGTTAGCACTGGGAGGGCTCACATTAAAGCATGAAATAGTGTGGCCCCGTAGGCAGTGCCCTCAGAGGGATAAGACTGGTTCTGGCCCTAGGAGAATGTAGCAGGCTCCAGGCCTTTGTCTTTCCCGTCCTTCCCAGAAGAGCCCCATCTCCAGGTGAATGGTCCAGAGTGGCCCAGGGCCTCCTCCCAGGTTTGCCTGCCCTCCCCATGTTGGGCCGGGAGAGGCACAGGGAGCCAGACCCCAGCTGTCTGCTCTCTGCCCCAGCTCAGTACACCTGTGCAACAACTCCATTCAGAAGCACTTGGAGAATTCATGCCACCGGCACCCACTGCTGCCCTCAGATAACATGTGGTCGAGCCAGAAGTTCCAGGCGCACCTGCAGGAGATGGGGGCCCCAGATGCCTGGTCCACTGTCATCGTACCCGGCATGAAGGCTGCCGTGATCCATGCCCTGCAGACCTCCCAGGACACTGTGCAGTGTCGGAAGGCCAGCTTTGAGCTCTACGGTGCTGACTTTGTGTTTGGTGAGGATTTCCAGCCCTGGCTGATTGAGATCAATGCCAGCCCCACCATGGCCCCCTCCACTGCTGTCACTGCCCGGCTCTGTGCAGGCGTGCAAGCCGACACCCTGCGTGTGGTCATCGACCGGCGGCTAGACCGCAACTGTGACACGGGAGCCTTCGAACTCATCTACAAGCAGGTGAGGTCGCTGCACCCAGGCAAGATCCCAGGGTGTCTGTCCCCTCTTCCAGGCATCCCTATGGTGAAGCCCAGGGCCCTGCTATCAGACAGAACTGGGTCAGGTTCTGGTCCTGCCACAGTGACTCTGTACAGCCCCTTCTAACCTTGAGCCTCTATTTCCTTGTCTGTAAAATTGAGATGCCATTACCATCTTTCTCATAGGGTTTGTGAGGATGAAAATGAGTTAATATGTGTGGATCATCCCTACGATCCAATAATTGTACTCCTGGGTATTTACCCAAAGAATACAAAAACACTAATCTGAAGGGCTATATGCACCCTATGTTGATTGCAGCATTATTTACAATGACCAAATGATGGAAGTAGCTTAAGTGTCCATTGATAGATGGGGGTGGATAAAGAAAAGGTGGTATATACAGTGGAATATTAGTCAGCCATAAGAATGAAATCTTGCCATTTGCAACAACATGGATGGACTTAGAGGGTATAATGCTAAGTGAAGGAAGCCTGTCAGAGAAAAACAAATACCTTATGATTTCACTCATATGTGGAATTTAAGAAGCAAAACCAACAAAGGGGGAAAAAAAAAAAAGACAAACCCAAAACCAGAGTCTTAAATAGAGAACAAACTGATGGTCACTAGAGGGGTGGTGAGTGGGGGGATGGGTGAAATAGGTGATGGGGATTAAGGAGGGCACTTGTGGTGAGCACAGGGTGACTTATGAAAGTGTTGAATCACTATATCCTTATATATATACTTGAAACTGATAGAACACTGTATGTTAACTACACTGGAATTTTTTTTTTTATTATTTATGATAGTCACACAGAGAGAGAGAGAGGCAGAGACACAGGCAGAGGGAGAAGCAGGCTCCACGCACCAGGAGCCTGACGTGGGATTCGATCCCGGGTCTCCAGGATCACGCCCCGGGCCAAAGGCAGGCGCCAAACCGCTGTGCCACCCAGGGATCCCTACACTGGAATTTTTAAAAATTAATTGTAACACTAATATCAAAATTAATTTAATTATTATTTTAAAATATTTAAAATATATTTAATTATTTATTTTAAAATATATTTTACTTATTAAAGAGTGTGCATATGCACCTATGAGCAGGGGAAGGGCAGAGGGAGAGAGAGAGATTCTCAAGTGGAATCTGCACCAAGTGCAGAGCCTGATGAGTAGCTAGATCGCATGACCCCAAGACCACAACCCAAGCCCAAATCAAGAGTCAGATGCTCAATGGACAGAGCCACCCAGGCATTCCTGTTTTTGTTTTTTAAACTAACATGTAATCAAGATTCACACTTGGCATTGGTTATTTTGTCCTACTTTGTCTTTTTTTCTTTTAGAAATACTCTCTAAAGTATCTCTAAAGTATTGCTTCCTATGCAGGAATCTAGCTTGGCGCATATTTCCAGTTTTGCTATTAGGATCCATTGTTACTTCCTGTTCTTCGTGGCTCTTGCTTCCATCCATTGGGATCTCACTTCAGTCCTGAATCATCCTTCCTTTCCCATGAACATCCTCCATAGTTCTTAGTCTCTTACCTGCTCATAGAAGTTTGGGGGTACAGAGCCTCATTTATTTCATATTGTATCTGTCCTTTTCAGTCCAAGTGGATATTTTAAAAAATATTGTGGGTTTCTTGTGTATCAATTCATAATCTGTTCTATTACACAAAAGCCATATCCACAAATCTTAGAGATAACTCTTCTCCCTGTGAGGCTGCTGTTGGACCACAGCCCTCACAATTATAGAAACCCTACTGCTCACAGAGACTGCCTATAACCCTCTCTTTAACAGTTCAGTTTTTTTTTTTTTTAAGATTTTATTTATTTATTCATGAGAGACAGAGAGGCAGAGACACAGGCAGAGGGAGAAGGAGGCTCCATGCAGGGAGCCTGATGTGGGACTCGATCCCGGGTCTCCAGGATCACACCCTGAGCCAAAGGCAGATGCTCAACTGCTGAGCCACCCAGGTGTCCCTATAACCCTCTCTTAAGAGTTAAATATAAGACCTATTGGTATGCCTTGGGATGCTTAAAAGATGTAGCTGCTTTAAAGGACTTAGATCTCGCTAAAGTTTTTTCTTACTGAGATATAATTGGCATGCAATGTTATATTCACTTAAAGTATACAACATAACAATCCAGTATTTGTATATGTTGTATGGTGATCACCATACACCAAGTTTAATTAACATCCATAACCACACAGTTATAATTTTATTTTCTTCTGATGAAAACTTAAAAGATCTACTCTCTTAGCAGCTTTCAAATATGCAACACGCAGTATTATTAACTATAGTCACCATGCTATACATTACATCCGTGATTTACTTTTTTTTTTTTTAAAGAGAAAGAAAGACAGAGAGCAGGGTGGGGAGGGGCAGAGGGAGAGAGAGAATCTTAAGCAGATTCTGCCCTTGACGTGGGGCTCAATCTCACCACCCTGAGATCATGACCTAAACCAAAATCAAGAGTCGGCCGCTTAACCAACTGAGCCAACCAGGCAACCCCATGATTTACTTATTTTATAACTGGATGTTTGTACCTTTTGACCCCCTTCATCCATTTTGCCCACTGCCTCTGGCAACTACTAATCTGTTCTCCATCTATGAGTTCAGGGTTTTTGTTTTAGATTCTACATATAATTTACATCATATTTGTCTTTCTCTCTCACTTACTCCACTTAGCATAATGTCCTCAAAGCCCATCCATTTTGTTAAAATGGCAAGATTTACTTTTTTTTTTTAAGATTTTATTTATTCATGAGAGACATAGAGAGAGGCAGAGGGAGAAGCAGGCTCCGTGCAGAGAGCTATGGGACTCGATCCTGGGTCTCCAGGATCACGCCCTGGGCTGAAGCCAGCGCTAAACCGCTGAGCCACCCGGGCTACCCGATTTACTTCTTTTTTATGGCCAAATAATATCCCATGATCGCTAGCTAGACCGACAGTCACATTTTCTTTATTCACTTATCCATTGATAGATGCTTATGTTGCTTCCATGGTTTGGTTATTGTAAATAATGCTGCCATGAACATGGGGGTGCAGATATTTTTTTAAGGTAGTAATTTTTTTTCCTTTGGATAAATACCCAGAAGTGGAATTGCTGGTGCTTCTGTCTTTAATTTTTTGAAAACCCTCCATACTACTTTACACAGTGGCTGTACCAATTTATATTCCCACTAATAGCTCACAAGGGTTCCCTTTTCTCCACATCCTTACCAACACTTGTTGATTCTTATCTTTTTGATAATAGCTATTCTAACATGTATGAGGTAATATCCCATTATGGTTTTGACTTGGATTTCCCCCATGATTGATGATGTTGAGCACCTTTTCATGTGCCCATTGGCCATCGGTGTGTCATCTTTGGAAAAATGTCTATTCAGATCTTCTGCCCATATTTAAATCAGATTATTTGTGTTTTTGCCATTAAGTTGTAGGAGTTCTTTATATATTTTAGATGTTAGTCCCTTATCAGATATATGGTTTGCAAATATTTTCTCCCATTTGGCAGGTTGCCTTTCACTTTGTGGATGATTTCTATTGCTGTGTAGAAGCTTTTTAGTTAGATGTAGTCCCATGTGTTTATTTTTACTTTTGTTGCCTTTGCTTTTGGTATAAGTCCAAAAAAAAAAATCATTGCTAAAACTGGTGTCAAGGAACTTAGCACTGCCTATGTTTTCTTCTAAGAGTTTTATGGTTTCAGGTCTTAAATTCACTGTAATCCATTTTGAGTTAGTGTTTGTATGTGTTATGAGATAGTGGTCTGGGTTCATTCTTTTGCACGTGGTTTCTAGTTTTCCCAGCACCATTTATTAAAGATTGTCCTCTCCCCATTGACTATTCTTGCACCTCCTTTGTCATAAATGAATTCACCATTTTGTTCAGTTGATGTGTGTGTCTGCTTTTATGCCAGTACCACACTATTTGATTACTACAGCTTTGTAATATAGTTTGAAGTCAGTAAGTGTGATGCTTCCACTTTGTTGTTCTTTCTCAGAATCGTTTTGGGGGTTCCTGGCTGGCTCAGTCAGTGGATTATGTGATTCTTAATCTCGAGGTCATGAGTTCAAGCCCCATGCTAGATGTAGAGATGACTTAAAAATAAAAATCTTAAAAACAAAAAAGAAAGATTGTTTGGACTGTACAAGGTCTTTGGTGGTTCCATATGAATTTTAGGATTATTTTTGTGAAAAACGCTTTGGAATTTTGAGAGATTGCATTGAATCTGCTTTGGGTAGTGTGGACATTTTAATAATATTAATTCTTCCAGTCCATGAGTACAAAATTCCTTTCCATTTGTGTCTTCAATTTTTTTCATCAGTATGTTTTCAACACAGATCTTTTACTTCCTTGGTTACATTTATTACAGGTTTGTATTCCTTTGGTGCTCTTTAACCTCTTTATTTATTTATTTTTAAAGATTTTATTTATTTATTCATGAGAGACAGAGACATAGGCAAAGGGAGAGGGAGAAGCAGGCGCCCCCCAGGAAGCCTGATGTGGAACTCGATCCCTGAACTCCAGGATCACACCCTGAGCCAAAGGCAGAGCTTAACTGCTGAACCATCCAGATGTCCCTCTTTAACCTCTTTTAATGTAGAGCAGCAGCACTGCTTTCTTCCCCTATAGTTTGTTTGGATCTTTTGAAAGGGACCAGGCTGATTGTTTTGTAGAACTGTCCCACATTTGGGATTTATCTGATTATTTCTTTGTGGTGCTGTTTAGCTTGTTCTTCTGTTATCTCAGTGTCCTGTAAACTAGAAGTTAGGCCAAACAGCTTGATGAGGTTCAGGCTAAACATTTTTGGCAAGAACACCTGAGAGGTAATGCTGAGTACCTCATATGGGATCACAAGGCACACACTGTTGGAGTGTCTCCTGATTAGTGGTGCTAAGTCTGGCCATGGGGTTAAGGTGGTGGCTACGAGACCTCTCTATTGTAAGTTGTATCCTCCCCTTTGCAGTGATCACTTAACTTTGTAAAGTGATACCTGGGCTGTGTGCACATGACACATTTTCCTGCCATCCTTTTCACCTACTTGTTTTGATACTCAGTTTTGATTCTTGCCTCTTACCAACTGGGCTTTGTGGGAGCTCTAATATTTGGTTTGGTTTTGTTTTGCTTTAGTGGTGTTTTGTTTTTTTTTAAAGACTGTATTTATTTGAGAGAAAGAGTGAGAGAGAGAGATCATGAGCAGGGGGGAAGGACAAAGGGAGAAGCAGACTCCCTGCTGAGCAGGGAGCTGGATATGGGATTCTATCCCAGGTCCTTGGGATCATGACCTGAGTCAAAGGCAGACGCTTAAAGGACTAAGCACCCAGGTGCCCTGACATTTGTATTTTCAACAAGCTCCAAGTGACTCTGATGTTTAGATAGATTCTAATTAGGATCCTTTGTTGATACAGAAAATACCTCCAGCTAGCTCAAGGCTGAAAGGGGGTCGTTAGCAAGACACAGGGGGTTCTCCTGAAGCCCAGCTACAAGATGTACAGCTGGCTTAGTAGGAACTGAAAATTGTTCCTCTCTTGGATCTTTTTCTCTGCCTCCTCCTACAAATTTGCTACCTCATTCTCTCAGTAGAATGTCTTCATTAAGACTCTTAGCTTCTACTTCTCCATAATGAGTTCATGAAGGGCTCCGGACAGGCTCCAAGCCTCTTATCTGTCTGGGTGACATAACTCAAATTCTGTTTGCAGAGAATCTGGCTTAACTCAGGAAGCTGTCCATCAGCAGTGGCTTGTGGAGCAGAGCCATACACATTCCAGCAAGGGCTTGGAGAGCTTAGGAGGGTAGAGGGTTAGGGGATGCTGGCAGTAGCATGGCTAAGATTCCCTGACTTCACGGAGTTACTAGTCCCAGGGGCTCTGTGACTTCCTAGGTACAGGCCCCCAGAACCAGACTCCTTAGAGGACAGCGGTGGGCCTCCCCAGAAATTAATTTTATCCATCTCTGCCCTGATTCCTTTTGGACCTAGGATTCCAGCCAGCATCACTGTCTGAACAGGCCTCATCTCTTCTTTCCCACAGCCTGCCGTGGAGGTACCCCAATATGTGGGTATCCGGCTCCTAGTAGAGGGCTCCACCATCAAGAAGCCCCTGGCAATGTGTCACCGGCGGATGGAGGTCCGCCCAGCACTCCCTCACCTGCTGACCCAACAAGGCTCTGGGGAAGGCAAGGACTCGAGGCCCCTTACCCACAGGTCAGCTACTAGAAAAGTTGCTGGGCCTAGGAGCCTGGAGCACACTGAGAAGCCAGACTCCACTGCTACCACCTCAACCCCCGGAAAGGGGAAGAAAGGCAAGGCAAAAAGTGCCACAGCCCTGGTCCACCCCAGTCTCTGGAAGTGGGAACCCCCCAGCACCAGGATGGGCTGCATTTTCACTATGACCTTTGCTAGTGGGGACAGGCAGCCCCACCCCTTGAACAGATTGCCACTGAGTCTGAAGAACCCCCAGACTCTGAGTAAGACCATTCCCCCCAAACACCCCAGGGGCCCAAGGCAATTTCTTCCTGCTCTCCAGAGCCCCTCCTAACCACCTAGACTTGCCCCCCAACTAGGGCTCCACCAGACAGAGACTAGTAGCAAGTAAAAGCTGCCACTTACAAAGCGTTTTTTAAAAATGTGTGACCATATGAGTATTGTTCCCTCCAAAGTAGCTACCCTGCAAGGCAGTTGGATTTACTTCAGATGCCAGTACTCAGTTCCAGGTCCCTCCCTCCAGAGCCCAAACCTTTCCTGCTGCAGTAATTCTGTCTTTGCCTCCATGCAAGTGCCTCTGGGGGAAAGGAGCTAAATATTTGTATAGCATTTACCAGTTTGCACTGTGCCACTACCTAACCAGCTCCCTTAGTCCTCATGACCTAGGAAGGTAGGTGCTATCATCCCCGTTTTCCAGACGAGGCATCAGGAAGTTTAAGGAAGTTGCCCGAGGTTGCACATCCCAGAAGGGGCAGAGCGGGGATGCAGACCCAGGTCTGTTGGACTCCAAATCCTATGTTCTTCCCACGGCCTCTGGAGGAGGAACTGGGAGGGCTCCTTCTGCCATCTCACAGCCCAGCCCTCCTCTCCCCCTCCTGCCCACCCTCCACACACACCTTGAGGGGCAGCTGGTCAGCCTTGGCTGGACCTGGGCCCTCATGGCCCTTCTTGCTCCCACAGCCCCTCCCCACGTCCCCAGTCTCCACACCAAGGCCCGGCTGCCTTCTCCCCATGTGCTCCGATCCCAGGGGGGGGTCCTCAGACTGCAGCACAGCAAGCTGGTGGGCTCTAGGGCCCTGTCGACCACAGGCAAGGCCTTGATGACTCTCCCTACTGCCAAGGTTTTGATTTCCTTCCCATCTAACCCTGAGCTCAAGTTGGCATCCAGCGTCCTGAAACCAAGAAAGGTGGGCCTTGAGCTGTAACTTGCACCCTGGTGGGCAGTGCCTAATCCTGGGCTCTGGGGTCAGGGCTGGAGGGCACAGGTCAGGGCAGGTCCTGGGCTGGCTGGAGCCCCAGGGGAAGGGTTTTTTCCCTCAGAACCCCCTTCCTAAACAGATTTCCTGATCATATCTCCCCCCTCCCATACCAAGGCTATTATTCCCCACCGCCTTCGTGGTCCCCATCCTGAAAGTGCCTTGTGGCCTCTACCCTTCGAAGTTGGAACTCTTCCTAATACCCACAGGAAGATCAAGGCCAAAGGCAAGTTCAAGGCCAGACTCTATGACAAACCCAAGGCTGAGGCATGCCTCATGAAGACACTGAGCCTTCCAGGACCCCTGCCCTTTATCAATGCATACCATGAGCTAGGGGGCATGGGGGACGTGAGGCTGGAGAAGTCCTTGCTTCAGGCCTCACTGCCCCTATCCTGGATGCAGCGCCAAATAAAAAGGAGCAAGTGAAGTATTCTGGGCTTGGCTCCGTTTCTGTTGGAGGGTGAAGAGAGGGTAGGCTGGGGCCCTGTACCTCAAGGTCCAGAATGAGAGCTGGAGGCCATCAGCAACCCTTCCACAAACCAAAGGGCCAGAATTCCACCCCCTAACAGCAGACATGGGGCTTCCTATGCAGGGATTCTCTGACACCTCTGATCCTTGGATTGGGGGGAATAAGCCTCACTTTGTGGATGAGGAGAAACAGTCTGAATGAGGAGACATGGCTTGCCCAAGATCATGTGGCAGTGAGAAAACTAGGACACATTCCCAGACTGCTCACCACTGGGACATCCCCAAGCCCCAAGCGCAGGGGAGAAGCCAGGATGGCAGCAGAGTGACATCTAACGGGGGTCAGATTTATAACATGAGATGGGGAGGATGGGCCATGCCAGCAAGGGGCGACAGTTGCCTAGAAAGGAAATATCCAGCCAGCCACACCCATCTGAAAACCTCTGGTATTTCTTAGTTGTAGTGAGTTGAATGGTAGCCTCCCTGCCCCCAGAAGATAACATCTGCTTGGAACTTGTGAATAAATTCATTTGGAAAAATTGTCTTCATAGATGTAAGTCAAAGACCTTGAGGTGAGAGTACTCTGGATTGTCCAGGTAGGCCTTGAGTCCAATGACAAGTGTCCTTGTAAGAGCCAGAAGACAGAGACACAAGAAGACCATATGAAGACGGGGCCTGAACTGGTGTGATGCAGCCATGAGTCAAGCTTCACAGCTACCAGAAGCTGGAAGAGGCAAGGATTCACCCCTACAAGCTTCAGAGAGCATGGCCCTGTCGATACCTTCATCTCAGACTTCTGGTCTCCAAAAACATCTCTGAGAAAATCAGTTTCTGTCATTTTAAGCCACTCGGGTTGTAGTCATTTGTTACAGCAGTCCTAGGAAACTAATATGCTAGTCAAGTGAAGATACATCTACTCTGCCAGCAACTGTTGTATAACTGAACCAGGAAATGCAGACTGGGACACACCAGTGTTGTGCTAACAGCTGAATGGTAAAAACAATAGAAGGGATAAACTGTTTTAGTCTTGTGCTGGAATTCAAATCCACACTATACATCACAGACACATTTCACAGTGTGGAACAAGAACAAAGCACAAGAGAATATATATATAGCATGACTCCATTTATGGAAACTTCAGAATAGGGCAAAACAAAATATATTGTTTAGGGGTCCATATGTATGTGGAAAAACTTAAGCCAGGAAAGTTCCCATGTCAGGGGAGGGCTTCCCAACCTAGACTGAACAATAGAACCCCTTCAGGAGCTTTAAAAAAGATTGATGCTGGAATTTCCAGCCCAGACTGATTAATGGGGTGCAGAATCACAGGGAAGGGGCTTTCTTAAAGCTTCCTGAGGGGGCTTCTAATGTAGAGCCAGGGTTGAGAACTGCTACCCTAACAAGGAAGGAGAGGCATGTTTCTATTTCGTGCCCTGAGTGGTAGTTATATGGGTGTTACCTTGTAATTATTCTTTAAATCACAGAGCTGTTTATGTACTCTTCGTATGTTTGTTAGATTTCTTTTTTTTTTTATTTTTTTATTTATGATAGTCACAGAGAGAGAGAGAGGCAGAGACACAGGCAGAGGGAGAAGCAGGCTCCATGCACAGGAAGCCCGATGTGGGATTCGATCCCGGGTCTCCAGGATCGCGCCCTGGGCCAAAGGCAGGCGCCAAACCGCTGCGCTACCCAGGGATCCCCTGTTTGTTAGATTTCATAACTTAAAGTGAAAGATCTAGTCCCCAGAGTAGTCAGATCCATAGAGACAAAGGAGAGTGGTGGCTACTGGAGGCTGGGAGGAGGGGGATGGGAAGTCACTGTTTACTGGGACAGAGTTTCAGTTCTGCAAGATGTTGTGATGTGACAGTTGTACAATAATGTGCGTGCACTTAATGCCACTGAACTGTTCACTTAGAAATTTGCCCAAAATGGGCAACCTGGAAAATACACAGGTTGTATTTTACTACAGTTCAGCAACAACAAAAAAATCAAACATTTCCTCTCAGCTAGAATTGAGACAGAAACAGCCAAATAAAAGACCACATACTGAACTCAGCAGAAACCAGCCTCCCTGATAAACATTTACCTCCTCAGCAAATCCTCAAAACCATACTATGAGGTAGGTACTTCTGTTAACTCATGTCCAGAGAGGTGAAGTTATTTGCCTAACACCATATGGCCAAGTGGCCTAGCCAGGCTTTGATCTTAAGTTTGTCCGAATGCAGAGCCCAGGATCTGCAAGCAAGGCCTTACTGCATGGTGGGCACTGCCCTCATTCTCCTCAGGCCCCATCCCCACTGCTTTCCAGTGGAAACAGAAGGAACAGAAGGAGGACTATTGCTGGCGCAGCCCCAGGCACTGGAGGTTCCTGGAGAAATAAGGGGGCAGAGGTGCCAGAAGCTTCATGGGGGCCTCCCTGGGCCTCATGCCTGGAAGATGGAGACAATGCAGGTGGAGATGCAAAGGCAGCTGGGCAGCCTGGGAGGGGGTCAGGCGGAGGCGTCTGAGGAAGGCTTCATCTAGGACCTGGGGTGGAAGAGGCATGTTAGCATTCAGCCAGGTGAGTTCCAATCAGCTCTAACCAAAATGGAAGTAAGAGGTACCTCCTCCTTTCCTCCCTCCGTGTCCATAGTTCTTCATTTCTCCTCTACACAAACACATACACATAGTCATACTATGGCAAAGACCAGCTAGGTTTCACCAAATCAGTTTCCACCTGGCACACAGCTAAACATTTCTGAGTCCCTCTCGCAGTTGGGTGAGGCCATGTGATAGTTTTAGCCATGGAACAGGAGTGCAAGAATACACCACTTCTAGACCTGGCTCATGAAAACTTCCCACCTGGACCTACACTGTACTATTTCCATCTGCTGGCTGGATAGCAATGGCCTGGGTCCCTGAGTGACTGGAGTAAAGCCCATTCCCACCGCACTCCCATGAATTAGATTTATTATTTTTTTTTTAATATTTTTTTTAATTTTTATTTATTTATGATAGTCACAGAGAGAGAGAGAGAGGCAGAGACACAGGCAGAGGGAGAAGCAGGCTCCATGCACTGGGAGCCCGACGTGGGATTTGATCCTGGGTCTCCAGGATCGCGCCCTGGGCCAAAGGCAGGCGCTAAACCGCTGCGCCACCCAGGGATCCCCCATGAATTAGATTTAATGTGGAGGGAAATTACTGTGTTAAACTCATACTTTGGGGTTACGCTAACACCCACAAACTGTGTTTACCCCTCATACCAAAGAGACCTAAAGAACAGCAGACTTAGAAGGGCCTTGAGAAATCAGTCAGTTCAAGTTCCTTATTGAACAGATGGGCAGAATGAGGCCCAAGCATGGGGATGTTACTTGCTCAAGGCCACACAGTAAGACAGGGCTAAGACAGCCTTGGAAGCCAGAAGGGCTGCCACTCCGTCCCAGACTTCATAGCTAATGTCTGAAGGTGTTGCCCACCCTCATCCCACAGCCTACCCCCCAAAACAGCAGGAAGGCAGGTTTGGGTACCTGTCTTTGGGGCTTGGTGCTCTCAGCTGGCAGTAGAAAGCGCTGGCCCAGGACAGTGCCCACACGGGCGGAGTATGTGTGATCCCCAAGCACAGGGCAGAGCTGTAGTACCATATGTACCTGGAGCTGACTGGGGAATACTGGGGGACAGGAGATATAGGATAGATGGTGGGTAGCTGGTGTTTCTGTCCCCCCCGCCCCCAGATCATCCCTCCTCCTTTCACTGGGGAAATAGAACCACTCCTGTTCCCAGATCTGGTGATTTCAGAGAGGTCCATGCAACTAACCCTGCCTCCAGAGCAGGATGCAAGACCCAGTCAGGATGGTCATAACCATCAGTCCACCTAGCCTGTGGGATTTGCTCATGAAGAGATACAGCCCTGAATTTACTGTTGAAGCTACTAGAAATAAGGAATGCTTCTTCCTGGTGGGGTACAGGCCCGGAGCTACTGGAGCCCCTGGCCATCTTACCTTCACCAGAGGAAAGCCTGTGGGAGAAAGATGCCAACATGCAGGAGGCAAGAATAAATGAAGAAAGAACTTCCAGAGGACATCCTCTGAGCCTCTAGATCAGACTATGCCTAAACTTTAAGTTCTGTGAGCCAATACATTCCCTGTTTGTGGCTTACACTAATTTGGATAGGTTTTTGGAAAACTTGACAAATAGAGAAATGGGGGGCTATGTGCTAGGCATGGTACAAAGTGCTTCACATATGTAAATTTCTTAAATCCTCATGACAGCCCGATAAGGCAGGTCCTATCATCATTCCCATCTTACAGGAACACTGAAGCTCAAAGAGAAGTGACTTGCCTAACCACCATAAGCTGGGATTCAAACCTAGGAGCTTATTCTCCTTCTATGTCTGGCAATAAGGTGGACTGGATAATCTAAAAACTCTTTTGCTATAAACCACCTAGAAATACCAGAAAAATGTAATAATCATCCTTTTAAATATGCAGCTGGGTATATTTAGGAAGTAAGGTCTCCAAGACTAAATCTAAACAGAAAACAGCACACAAGAGCCTTTTTACCTATTCTAGGGATGCTGTAAATCTTGGTATCCAGGGGCCTTGGGTTTAAATAGCTACCTAGGGGCCAAGGATGAAGCTCTGGTACCCAAATGAAGACCTAGAAGGGCTATATCTTCAGTGAAGGAGTAGACCAGGAGGAAAAGCCAGCCACTGATGAAGGCAGATGATTACTTTAGGTTTGGACAAGGGGAATGAAAAAGTTCCTCTGAAAATTCACAACATGAGCCTGTTCTCACATGGATTTGGGACTCAATACTAGAGTGACCTGTGAACTTCCAGCTGAGACATTAATATTTAGATCTTGAAGTAGTGACAGCTCTGGGGCATTTGGCAGAAGCAAAGGCAGAACTTTTCTTGAGGGCCCTACCTACAGTGAGGCAACAAAAGATTTCCACAGATAAAGGTCCAGCTGAACCTGAAGTCACAATCCTGAATCAAAGAACAATGAAACAACCTACCAAGCATGAGAGTCAGCATGAAACACCATAGGATTAGGCCCTCCAGAATTTCCAACAATGAAAACATAGAAATACAGTATCTCTATGTTTTACTTGACTAAAGACAAAAAAGAACAAATAGTATGAGAAAAAATGCTATATATATTTTAAAGGCCATTTTTACTTGTAAAACAACCAAATAGAAATACTAGAAGTGAAAAATACAGCGAACGGATGGGCTGACCTGGCAGATTAGATCCAACCGAACAGAAAATTATTCACCTGGAAAATAGGTCTAAAGAAATTACCCAGAATGCACAGGGATGAAGAAATATGAAAATGTGAAAGAGACCTAGCCAGTGAGTGAGGTCAGACCCATCTCTTAGGCATTGAAAAGGAAGAGAATAGAGGAAATGCAAGAGGTACAACATGTGAAGAGAACTTTCTGGAATTGCTGGAATATATTAATTTTCAGATTCAGGAAGCAAAGTGAATTCCAAGCAAAATAAATAAAACTCAACCCACACACCTAGATTCGGCAAGTGAAACCACAGAATACCAAAGGCAAAGAGAAAATCCTGAGACCAACAAGTTAGAGAAAAAAAAAAATAGATGGGCTACAAAGGAATGCCCATCAGTCTGATACAGCAGAAGTGCTGCCTCCTCCAGCTGGGCCTGACTACCTTGACCCTTAGACTCCATTCAGTGCTCCCCACGCTGCCATTTATGCCACCACCTTCTTCCCACCCCGCGTTCCTCCCCCAGCCAAATACAGCTGTGAAGGCTGGCTAGGGACCCACCAGTCAGTGGCTGCAGCTGGACCAGGGCACAGCCAGAGCCCATGGCCACCACATGGAAGTGGCTGAGGGTCCTCTTGACACCTTCTTGGAAGTCCTTTCGGGATGGAGACTTCACTGGAATTACCTGCAGTGTCAGCCCCCCAAGAATAAACATGCTTCACACACCTGGCAGCTACACCCAGACCCTCTCTGCCTCCAACAGACGGAGCCATGGTATAAGCAGTGGTCATTTGCCTGTTTTAGGGGACAGAAAAGCCAGCCACCCCAAGTCTATACCCTTGACTCCTTTGTAGGGATAATATATTTGGAAAGTCCCCTCCTGTTCCCTCCCAGACTGTGACTCACTAGATCAACACCATCAATGTGTTCCAACTTCAGAGCTGCTTGGATATTCCCCTCAGAAGTAGCTGGGATCCCATCGGTGATAGCCCTGAGAAAAGCAGGAGCAGGTCACAAGGTGACTTGCCAGGACCTCCCTACTGCCATGGGAGCCTCCCAGCACCTCTCACCAGTAGGTGGCTGTGGGTCTCCGGGCTCTCCGTGAGTAGATGAAGAACTTTTGGAGGTGGCTTGCTGTCTGAGGACAGCTGGAGAGGAGTACAAGCCCAGAGGTCTCTCTGGAGAAAGAGGATAAATCACAAAAGTTAAAGTCCCTTGGGCTCACCCACAAAAAAAGGGAAACCCCTTGGAAGGAACACCGATGTCCTTAAGACCAACGTGGTCACACCGGTACTAAAACCCAGACTTCCTCTTGAGAAACAAGACTTCTTCATGTTTGGTAATAAGACTACATAATTTAATGTGTTTTTCATCCTCTCTCGGTCCCCAAGGAGCTCAGAGCCAAATGTCATAACAATTACCACCAACTGCTGAATGTCTACAATGTGCTGGGCGCTATAATAGGAATTTTGTATACATTGGTTCATAATTAAATTCCCCAGGAGTCTATGGGTTTGTGGAATTTCAGAAATATTTCATCTCAAGTACCAGCTCTAATTGATGGCAGTTGGAGGAAAGAATATCATGGATCAACTAGCAATGCCTGCCATGATCATGGGTTTGGAGAAGTGACTGCACATTGTGCATAGGTATGATTTGCTCTATTTTTATGATTGAGGGAACTGGGGCTCAGTGAGGCTTCATGCTTTGCCTAAGATCACAGTTTGTGCACACGGATTTGAACCCAGATCTGTCTGTTCCCTCCTTTTCCTTGCATCCTTCCTCTGTGATCCCAAACCAGCCTATGGAAAATGTCTCAGCTTACTCCCAAGCAACTGTTCCCTCACCCAAGACGGAGGCCTGTCCCGCTACCTTCCTATCACTCTCCACCACTTACTTCCCAGATGCTTGGACAATCTGGAGCTCCCGATCCCTAAGCCCCAGGGACTGGCTCAGCTCTGGCAGCACAGAGAACAAGGTCAGCTCCCCTGGTTTTCCTGGGGGAAAGAAAAAGAAGTATAGGTTTTTCTCAGAGGCCTCTGGCTTCATGCCACCACCCCCTTCTTTTCCTTATCTCGACCTTCAGAGCCCTCAAACCTTGTTCCACTGCATCCCCTCCTCCAGCCCATACCTGTCACTGGTAGACCCGGTGGCTTATTCAGCGTCACAAGAGGTCCTAGAACATACATTACATGAGCATCAGTGACACAGAAGCAGCAGTTAGAATTTATAAAATACTTTTTAATTTGGCTTATCTGTGGCCCATTACAGCTCTCAGACATGAATTATCAACCACATCCTCAACTGAACTTCTTTCTGTCCTCGGCATATACTAAGCTTGTTGCCACCTTAGGCTTTTTTTATACTTGCTGTTTCCTCAGTCCCAGATTTTCACCTGTCTGGCTCTTTCATATAATCTTGGCTCAAATGTCACTACTACAGAGAGGCCTGAATCCCCAATCTAATGTCTGCCACACGGTCACAAAGTCTTGTTTTATTTATAGTACCGATCAGTAGTAAGTACCTTGTTCATTTATTTCCTAGTTAATCCATTTCTCCCACTAAAATACTGGCTTCCTGAAAGCAGGAACCATATTTATCTTGTTCGGCACTGTCTAGTTGTGCCTGGAACAGAGCCTATGCTCAATAAATAGTTGAGAAAATTAATAAATCACTGGAGACTCAGAAATTTTCCTAAAGTCACACAGCAAGCTGATTACAGAGCCTAGATCTGACTCCAAAGCCTGTGTTTTGTCCATAAATAATTTTTTAAAGATTTTATTTATTTATTTATTCATGAGAAACACAGAGACATAGGCAGAGGGAGAAGAAGCAGGCTCCTCAAGGGGAGCCTGATGTGGGGCTGGATCCTGGGACTCTGGGATCACGCCCTGAGCTGAAGGCAGACGCTTAACCACTGAGCCACCCAGGCGGAGGATAAATTTATTATAGCAATTCCTATGACCAAGTGCCTACTACGTTCAAGGCTCTGTAGTTATTTGCACCCTCACACCCCTATCCCCAGGATGCTGAGGCTCAGATTATGTGGCTGGTTCCAGGTCACACCACTAGTGGGAGACAGAACCCGGATATGACCCCCACAGCTTTGGTAGGGAGCCCAGTCGGCCCGCTCCCCTCCCACCCCTCACCTCTCTGGTCCACCACGGCTGCCCTCAGCGCGTCAACCAGCCCCTCCCGACTGAGGTGCTCTAGCTGCAGCAGCCCTGGGAATGGCTGGTCCCCCAGGGGCCCCGACCGTTTGCTGGATCCTCGATGTCGCAGCTGATGTCTGAAAAAGGTAGGTAAGCAACAGGAAGGTCACTCGTTTCCTGAGGTGTGTCCACTCATCTCCACACACCTTGAATCCTGCCACCTCCTACACATGCCTCAGAATGCCTGGATGAGCTTCCGGAAAATTCAGGTACAACTGGCCCCATTTTGCAGAGGAGGGAACCGAAGCTCAGAGAAACCAAGGGAGTAGTTGAGGGTCCCACAGTAGTGGCGGGTCCCACGCCTTCCTGACTCCAGATCCCCTGCACACCTTACCCCGGGCCCCTCCCCATCCCACCCACGCGGAGGGGCGGAGGGAGACGTAATCACCGGGCTTCGGTGCCAGAGCCTGCGGCCCTGGACGCTGCGCGGACCCCCGGCCCCCGCCGCCAGCCACCCCAGACCTGGCCCAGGACGCGACAGCCACCCATCTCTGGAGCGGCGACAGTGCGCATGTGTCCAGAAGCCGGCCCGGCCGCCGCCGCCGCCGCCGCCGCCCGGCCCCGGCCGCAGCGCGCTGGTTGGTCGGCTTGCCTGTCAATCAGCCAGCAGGCTGGCTCAGAGCGGTAAGAGGTGGAGCTTTGCCTCCGCCCAGGAAGAAGGTGCTGTACCACGTGTCTGTGCTTTTGGGGAAATCGAGGCACGGAGCAGAGAAGGAATTTACTCGGGATCAGAAGACCTGTCTTTTTTTTTTTTTTTTTAAGATTTTATTTAGGGATCCCTGGGTGGCGCAGCGGTTTAGCGCCGCCTTCAGCCCAGGTTGTGATCCTGGAGACCCATGATCGAGTCCCACGTCGGGCTCCCTGCATGGAGCCTGCTTCTCCCTCTGCCTGTGTCTCTGCCCCTATTTATTCATGAGAGACACAGAGAGAGAGAGAGAGAGGGGCAGAGACACAGGCAGAGGGAGAAGCAGGCTCCATGCAGGGAGCCCGACGTGGGACTCGATCCTGGGTCTCCAGGATCACAACCTGGGCTGAAGGCGGCGCTAAACCGCTGAGCCACCTGGGCTGCCCAGAAGACCTATCTTAAGACAAAACAGGAACGAAAGATTAAGGTACTCTGATTACCATTCCAATTCTTAGGAGTCTCTGACTTCAAAAAACCACCGTTGTGCCCAATTTTGTAAAGTAAGTTGAGAAAAAAACTAAGACACTCTGGTCCAGTAAACTTCCAAGAACGGCCTGGTGCATAATCAATACAAAAGGAGAAGAGGGCCAGAGGTAGAATGAGATTCACTACAGCATTATTTATCAAAACAAATCTCAAAACTGGAAACATAAATTGTCCTAGAATAGGTTTATAAGGGAAATCTAATACATCGCCAATTCAACTTTTTTTTGTTTTAGATTTTATTTATTTATTTATTTATTTATTTATTTATTTATTTATTCATGAGAGACACACAGAGAGAGGCAAAGACATAGACAGAGGGAGAAGCAGGCTTCCTGTGGGGACCCCAGGATCATGACCTGAGCCAAAAACAGATGCTCAACCACTGAGCCACTCCGGTGCCCCTGATTCAACATGTTTTAGGGCAAACTCTATGTCAGACCCTGGCATCTTTGAGTTGGAAACAGAGATCAACAAGACTGAGGTGGTGCCCACTAGAAGTTCACAGAGTGCACACAGTCAGATCACAGCATCACAGCCCATCTTCCTAAAACCCATGCAGATGCTGAGAGAGTGAAGGGAGAGGAGCCAAGTGAAATCAGGGAGCAAGTCCAAGCATGCTTTGTGATGGAAGGGTTGTGAAAAACTAATAGTAATTCACCAGAAGAAAAAGTTATTGGGAGAGGGGAGGCAGAGGCATGGAACAACAGGAGAAATGAGATGTTAAGTAAAAAAAAAAAGAAAAAAGAAAAGAACAAAATGAGTTCTAGCCTATAATTAAACTATACAAAATTTACATGCAATCAGTATATTTTTTTCCTTATTTACTAAGAGCATTGTAACTTTCAATTCACTGTTTGCATTAGGAAAAGACTGCAAATGAAACTAATTCAACAGAGGAGTGGCTACTTATTGTAGCATATCCATACCATGCAGCCATTAATTCAGGAATGTATATGTCTATATGTGCTGATAGGAATTAGTCTCCAAAATGTATTAAAGCAAAAAAGGAAAGAGAAGGACAGTGTAACTAGAAGATGCGTGTGTGTGTGTGATTTGCATCTATTTATTACATTTTATTTCTCTGCATTTCTGAAAGGACACACAAAAATGAGATGGTATTTGCTTCTGGAGAAGGAATCAGAGGTAAGAAGATAAGTAATGATTTTTACTCTTTGGAATTGTGTAATTTTTTAAAAATCTCATTGAAAAAAAAATAAAAAAAAATCTCATTGATATACTTCATCTACATACACATGAAAACCTTGGTTAAAATCTAAACCATGGGGGAATCCCTGGATGGCTCAGCAGTTTAGTGCCTGCCTTCAGCCCAGGGCACGTGATCCTTGGGTCTCAGGATCAAGTCCCACATCGGGCTCCCTGCATGGAGCCTGCTTCACCCTCTGCCTGGTCTCTACCTCTCTCTGTGTGTGTCTCTCATGAATAAATAAATAAATAATGTTTAAAAAATAGGTATAAATAACTTTTAAAAAGACTATATATGATTCTACTCACATAACATTTTAGAAAAGGCAAAGTATATTGGCAGAAAAAAGTCAGGAGTTGCCAGGGGCTTGAGTGGGTGGAGGATGGGGATCAGAAAGAATATAAGGAACTTTTTGGCATGCTAGAAAAGGTGGTTGCATAACTATAAATTTGCCAAAACTGGGGTACCGGGTGGCTCAGTTGGGTGTTCAACTCTTGATTTTGGCTCAGGCCATGATCTCGGGATTGTGGGATCTAGCCCCACTATGGGCTTGTGCTCAACATGGAATTCGCTTGAGCTTCTCTCTCTCCCTCTCCCTTTGCCCCTCCATCTGAGCATGTGCATGCTTATGTACCTGTGTTCATCTGTGTGCTCTCTAAATACATACATACATACATACATACATAAAATATTTTTAAAAATTGCCAAGATTAAAAAAATTTTTAATTGTCCAAACTTAATTGTCTATATCTTAAAAAGGAAAATTTTATTGTATATAAAATAAATATAAATTGTACATCAAGTGACTTTTTATTTTTATTTTTTTTTTAATTTTTATTTATTTATGATAGTCACACACAGAGAGAGAGAGGCAGAGACATAGGCAGAGGGAGAAGCAGGCTCCATGCACCGGGAGCCCGACGTGGGATTCGATCCCGAGTCACCAGGATCACGCCCTAGGCCAAAGGCAGGTGCCAAACCGCTGCGCCACCCAGGGATCCCTCAAGTGACTTTTTAAAAAAAATATATTTTATTTATTTGTTCATGAGAGACACAGAGAAAGACAGAGACATGGGCAGAGGGAGAAGCAGGCTCCCTGTGGGGGACCTGGGATCACCACCTGAGCCAAAGGCAGATGCTCAACCACTGAGCCACCCAGGCATCCTGAAACTTATTTTTTTAATTCAAAGATTTAAAATAATTTTTGGATAGATGTACACAAATAGAGACAGAACTGGCAAGACATTTGGCAAGAATAGAAGCGGTTTTATCTTGTTATGGGTTCAGACAGTACTGTGCTTTGTCATAAGGCCCCACAGCATTTTAGAACCACTCTCCTGAAAGGCCTCCTGTGCTTTCATAAGTACCAGCTTGAGCAAAAGTGGAAAGACTAGGGCCTGGGGGCTGGAACACAGTGTGCCTGAACTGCAATAGTCCCCATCTTGGCTGTGGCACTTGGGCCACAGGAGGGGCCATTCCCCCACTTGGACTGGCCTCTGGCTCTCCTGAGGCCCTGTGCTCTCTGGAATCTTTCTTTCATATACCCTAGCCTCATCAAAGGCTGCCCTCTCCTGTTCACTGCCAACAGCTGCTTAGTCTCCAAGTTTCTAGAAGAAAAGAACCTAATTTTCCCTGGGCTGAGAGTGCTCAGTGCCAAGAGACCATGGTCAGTCACTCAAGACTCAGTTGTGAGGGTGCCTGAGTTGGCTCAGGTCATGATCCCAGGGTCCTGGGATCAGAGCCCTGGATTGGGTTTCCTGCGCAGCAGCGAGTCTCCTTCTCCCTCTCCCTCTGCAGCTCATCCCTCTCTCTGTCAAATAAATAAAACTGACTACATTAATGTAAAGAAAAAAAAAAAAGAGGAACAGGTAGGCCGCAGCCTCTGCAAGTGTTGACCAGGAATAGCTTCTATGCTGGTGATTATGCCTCCATGCCGGAAGGCCTACTCCACAGAGCCAGGATAGCACAGCACCAGGCCTCTAGTCATAAATGCAAGAGCAGGAAAACCCAAAATAGAAAGTGTTTCTGCTAGCTCTGCAGCTCTTCCCACACATGGCTGCAGGTTTGGATCAGCTGCCAGCAATAACTTTCCAGACTCTAGCTTTGGTAACACGGGACTTTGTATCTAATAAACCCAAATAGATTTTATATGCAGAGGCAGAAATGACATGTTTTGAATCTGAGAGTCACAGAAAAAAGCAGGGTCCACCTACAAACTCAGCCTTTCATGTTTTTATCTTGTTTGAGTTGCTCTATATTGAAAAATGCCAGCTCACACTGATGAGAAACTAATATTCTTTGAGGCTAAGTAAAAGCTCATTTTGAAATCTGAAGTTGTTATGAAAGATAACAACAAGAAACATGAAAGATAAGTTGTCTAGTAAGCCAGGGAGAGCATTGATGGAGGGTTGTGTTACAGCCTGAGTAGTACTTTCTCTGCTAAATACTTAAAGGGTTGTAATAAAATGTTATGAGAGAAGTGCCTTAGTCCTACCCTGCCATTCAAAGCCCTTCTGATGGTCAGATTTCCTTTAGAAATTGAACTTTATCATATTGATTTACATGGTCTGCTCAAGTCTCTGATTAAGCAGACATTAGTTCTAGAATCAAATATCTTTTTGGTTGGTAGAAATATTTTTGTTGTTGTTGGTAGAAAAAGTCCTGTTTCCTGTAACCCCCACGTTTGGGAAAATGGCTTGACAATAGATTCCTCTCGTCCCTTAGACCTTTCCAACCTTGCAGACAGAACTCCGGACCCTCACCCACAAAAAACACAGGCAAAGATGGATCAGCATAAATAATGTAATGTGAATTCTCTAGTATCATACACAGTTCTTTCAGGAGCGTTAGGGCTGGTTGGCCAGGAGGTGGGGAGCGTGATGAAAGTAGAGCATGTGAAGACAGGAAGCTGAGGGGCAGACTTTCTGACAAGCAATTCTCAGGTTTCTGCCTTTTTCCCCTCGGAAGACTTCATCATTCATGGTCCTAGTTGGGTGAGGAGGGTGTGGCAAGGTAAGAGGCTGTCTAGCTGCCATCTTGTGGATGCTACTAGCTGAGCATAGGGGCCACATTCTAGTCCTTGTCTGGGGGAATGCCTCCAAGGACTCAAGCCTTCACTGCAGCATCTTCAGAGAGGTCGGGATGAGCGATCGGGCCTTG